CTTATACTAAGATACATTAAATGGTGCATCGGTTTTTGATTTCGTTGAACGGTGTTGCCATGGTTACTAAAAATAGAATTTTCTTTGAAATTCCTTTAAAATGCTCCTCCTTTTACAGTTTTGGTCTGATTTCAATATTACGTAACACACAAGTAGACTACACTAAGATACATAAAATAGTGCATTTGTTTTTTATTTTGATGAACGGTGTTGCCATGGTTGCTGAAAATAGAATTTTCTTTGAAATTTCTTTAAAACGCTACTCCTCCTACAGTTTTGATTTGATTTCAATATTACTTGGCACACAAGTAGACTATACTAAGATATATAAAATAGTGCATTGGATTTTACTTTCGATGAACGATGTTGCCATGGTTACTCAAAATTGAATTTTCTTTGAAATTCCTTTAAAACGCTAGTCATCCTACAGTTTTGGTCTGATGGCAATGGCTTCTTTTCTCATCCTTTGTTATAAGTACAAACCAGTAGAGCTACAGTCTCGACAGAGACTTCTGGTTTATATTAATTGTTTGACAATGTCACGTATAAGTTGTTTTAATGTGATTGTATGCAATGATTGTGTACTGTCATTCCAATGAAGTTCTTCATGTCTGTTCTAATAATATTTTTTTTCCTAGTTGACTTAAGTCAGTTAAGTGGTTTGTAAAAGTTCAAAGCTTGTTTTTTTCTCTGAAGGATATAGTTTAGAGCATTTTGATCACAAAATCACATACAATTTAAATCCTATTGGAATGCAGAAATGCTGTAAACGTGCTTTACGCTAAGAATGATACATGCGTTGTTGACAGGCCAGCATTAACCACAGTAGGCAAAATGTTTATGTTCTTTATAATCACATTAAGTCGAGAATTTTGATTTTATGCTTTCTAAGTATACATATGGAGAAACTGTTTGTGGCATGCAACTTACCACATAACATGAGCATCTTCCATGAGTCAGAAACGACTTAAAAGTCTTCTGCAAGAAAACCCTCAACATTATATCCTCAAGGAAACAGTTTTAAGATTTGGTACAAAATAAAGACATTTTTGACATGGAAAAGCGTGTAAGTTTGACAGAATCCTTCATATAATAATTTTGGGGGTTTTAAGTAATATCAATCTCTTGATTGTTAAATTTCCATTAACAGAGGACAGGATTGTTAAAGTTCCATCAGTTGTAGTTGTAATCATTTTCAAATTCTTCAAATTATGAATATAACATTTTTGTGCAAAGTTTTGAAATTTTTCAATTCCATACCCTCTCTGAAGAGGAGATAACTCTAAAAGTTTTCTTATTTAAAATGTGAAGTATCAAATGTTTATCTTGATTATGTTGATTAAGATGCAACTTTTTTTTTTGTAAGGAATGTTGATTTCATTTAATGCAAATTTGACCTGTGTGCTTATTTACTTAAAATAAGCTTATTTTGAATGTGGATAGTAGCAAATGTTATATTCATTCTCACATTTAAAATAACCCAAACGTCTGTAAGGGTTTTCATAAGCACATATGTGTAAGAAGTTTTTGTTTGTAAATTAAAATCCAGATTGTAGAAATTAAGAGTGTTTTCAGGGAACTCAATTTGATGTCCAAAATCCTAGAGTAGTTTTACATTCCCTTGATGAATTTTGTGTTCAGTCCACACCCACACACCCTTACACAACCTTACACTATCCTTATGTTAACATGAGGACCCATTGGCATAATCAATAATATATAAACTATAAATTATCTGGAAATACAATCACACCCAAAGTTTTATTTTAAAAGACCCTTTTCCTACATATTTTCTTTAACCTTTTTTGTTAACAAGACTTTAATTCTTTATGATACTTGCAATTTTAATTGTGAATTTGATTAGTTAGATGTATTTATTTTATATAGAGCCTAACTCATAACTTACATTTTTGTACATATACTGTATTTAAATCAGTTGGTTTCCTTTGAGTGTATTTGTTGTTTTTTTTTTTTTTTTTTTTGCTGTATTATAATATCATGGGAATAAATCACTTCTTATTATTCAATTCTCTTGTTCAATAAAAAAAAAACATTTTGAAAATTCTGAAATTAATTTCAATGTTCATTTTATGGAACGAGCCTTTTACATGGGAAAAGTCTCCTTTTATGTCTCTTGCTTTTTGGAAAACGCAAATCAATGAATTATAATGGAGAAAACGAACAGTATTCAAGCTCAAAAGTAAACTCAACATTACAAATCAGGAGCAGAACAAACACGGACCTCCGAAACATCAGAGGTGGGATCATATGACATGAAGGAGTGAGCATCTCCTCTCAACAGGTCATAGTGCTGTGTGCTCCTTGTTATGATCGGGAAATAACGGAAAAAATCTGTTGACAATTCCATGTGTAACTAACAATTAGTATTTAAACGTCATCTAGTCAGCATTCGACTTAGTTATTGACAGATTATATAAAAATCTCATTCTGTTGTCTGTTCTGAAATTTAAAAATCAGTATAACTTTTAAATGAGGGAAAATTAGAAATTATGTTGAATACCCAAAAATGTTTCATAATTTTCGACTTAATACCCACATTGACCTTGAATTTTGGCCTTTTATTGATTCATTTTGAATAATACTAATCGTTTGAATGAGAAAATTTTTGTTATATTTTGCAGATGGATTTCCGTTTCACGTCTTCCCGATAATTCAATGATTTTTTACTCCATTACTTTGAAGTTTTTCTTTGTTAAGGTCATTGGCAACGAAGGGTTTCCGGAGAAAAAAGGTTTATACCCAGGTTTTTTTACTTATGAAAAAAAGTCATTGAGAGTGATCTTATGAATTCTCTAGGCGCTGAAAACAAAAATTAACAGTTATATAAACAAAAACACGTGTGTTTTTTTATCGGATATATTCAACTCTACAGTAATAAAAGAAAAGCAGCGATGGGTTTGTTTACATTGTGTTGAGGGGGCAGACAGGTCGTCATTTAGAATAGATAAATGATTGCTGGGAAGTGCAAAGGTGTGAAATAATTATGCTGAAAGTGTTGATAGCTAGGTGAACCGAATGAGAACGATTCCATAGGTTATGTAAATGATGCACCATTAAAAAGTTACTATAAATCCTTGCAAAAATGTTTTTTGACAGTTCGTTTCAAATTAAGTAAATTATAGAATAGAAACAAACAACCACTCTCTTGATCATTATGAATATTGATTAGATGTTATTACAGTAAAGGGAAGTAATCAAAATTAAAGAACAGCGCTGGTATTTCTGTGTTTTGTTTCAATATTCGCATTTTCAGCCAAATTATATGCATGTCATCGGAAATAAGGTTTCAACAATGTGTTTTATGTATAAACCTTATGAAATAAATGGGTTTTAGAGAAAACGTATGGTTAAAAATATTATAGGCCCATTTTATCAACATTTTACATAGGAAATGCATTGAAAATTGTAAAAACATTGATTTGACAAAATCGTTAAAGGAAGGCTGGCTTGATGGGTGAAAAGGACCTGAATTGAACATGTTTGGTACCATTAAACCTGTTCAAAAAATCTTGAAAAATTCTATACGAAAGCCAGAAACGTTGCCAATGTCCTTAATTAACACCGACCATGGCCTTTGCACATAAAAAGAACATGTTTTTCAATTTTTATGCCCACCTTCTAAGAAGGGAGGGCATATTGCTTTGCTGCTGTCTGTCGGTCGATCAGTCTTTCTCTCGGTCCACTTAGTTTCCGTTCATTTTCTTCACAACCGTTGCACATACTAAAATGAAATTTGGTATACAGGTATATCAGATGAGTATCTAGGACAAGTTATGTTTAGGGTACGTACAATCGCACCATTTTTGACAGAGTTATGCCCCTTGGACTTAGAAAAATTCCAATTATTTGCAGTTTCCGTTCATTTGCACACATTGAAAAGGAATTTAGTATACAGATTAGTCAGATAGATATCTAGGTCAAGTTCTGTTTTGGGTACGATAGCACCATAATTGACAGAGTTATGCCCCTTGGAAAAATTCCAATTATTTTCAGTTTCCGTTCATTTTCTTCGGAGAGGTTCCACATATTGAAATGGTATTTAGTATACAGATTTGACAGATGAATATCTAGGTCAAGATCTGTTTTGGGTATGACCGCACCATTTTTGACAGAGTTATGCCCTTTTGGACTTAGAAAAATTCCAGTTTTGGGGGGAGGGGGGCATAAGTGTTTTACAAACATCTCTTGTAACTTGTGCATCACCACTGAAATATCCCTTGCGAATGAATTTTGATTCCATGCCCTCCTCTCCTAATTTGACAGTTATACGTTTTTCGTGGCTGTATCTTTTGCATCAAAACACACTACTTCAGAAATACCGATATGAACATTTAGTCAGAGTGATGAACAATTAGATGCAGTGAATCTTTTTATTCCAACCAATTAGATCCAAAAAAGTGAAGAAGTTGAATTTGCTCGTCATACTCAGTTTGCCTAACAACAGTTTGCAAAATATTTTAAGTCTATAACTTATAGTTTTCGCAATTTTAATGACGTAATTGTAGCATTTAATAATGAATATCTATCCCTTGTTATTTGTGCAGAAATTAGTCGTTGCTCGTGTAAATAATCATATTTCGCGATGTACAAAAAATCGGGATCAGGAAGATTTCAATCAATGAATTGACAATATGCATCTTTAAATTCATTCTACATCCTTTATAAATATATTACTTACTAAATTATGTTTATTATTTTTTGATGCTGAATTGCTGGTATGCACACATTTTTATCATGTATATAAATGCCATTAGAAACTGGAATATTATGAACTTAAAACATGTAATTGAAATATTTCGTATAAATACGTGAAACATATAACAGTTTCATTGCAATTGTAATTGATTCTCTTGACAATCATTGCATGTATTTAAATATATATATATTATTGGTGATTTCTTTTTATGGCGTCATACCTTGTAATACATCCTCATATCTATTACCTAATTAAAGACTTCATTAATTTTTCCTCCTTGTAGATGGAAACTGCCACAGAAGATATTCACAAATCCCTAAATGATGTCATAGATTCTCAGACCCACTTCAAGCTCCGCGAAGCAACCGGAAGAATATTTGCGGAGGAGCTCCATTCTCGCGTGAGTTACTGGTCTATCGGCGAGACTTTGATTATTCTACTCATTGGACTCGGGCAGGTGTTTATTTTGAGGAGTTTCTTCACGGAGAAGAAAACGAGTGGTATGCCTATACACTCGTAATCCTCAGGTTATATAGTCCTCAGATGGTTCAACATTTCTCCTCACTCATAAAAAATTTGATTTTATGATAATATTAAAAAAATGAAATCTAATTCTATTTTTGAAACAAAGACATTTTCAGAATACCATGCAGCTGTCTTCCAGTGCAAAACTTACTGGATATATATATATATGGAAATATAAGCAATTACTTTAAATGAGAGATTTGTCTTTTTTTGAGAATGGTTGAACCTTTGGGCCTATTTATGTGCAATTATGAACTGTGTTCATTATTAGACAAAGAGATGTAAAAGAAAAATAGGGTAGGTAAGAAGTCAGATTTCTCATACAAATATATCATGTACGAAAAATTGAGAATGGATTTTCAAAAAAAAAGTCTCGTGATGATCAAAGTTTCTACAGCCACTTTTAACAGATAACATTGTCTGACAGTCTCAATTCATTGAACAAATTAAAGTTATTATACATGAATAACATGGAAATATAAATCATCGTATGGATGATTTCTGCTACTGACGACTATTAGAAAATTTGTAACAGAATTGTTTCAAAAACGATATGATACAAATCAGTAAATCATCCACTAGTTTGTTAGCTAGTAATGTAATTATGTGAACAACACTTTTTATACCAAAACTGTCCTTTTTTCGAAATTTCAGAATTTTTAAGAATATGTTGAGAAATGTTAATATTTTTGCTTCGTTTGCTTGCCAGGTTCCAATGAGATTTTACAAGTCTTGATTTTATATGCTTCATCTTTGCATGTTTAAGAATAAAGAACATTGTGTTTATCCAGCATTGTGTTTTCCTAGTGAAAAATTTTATGACAATACATGCGATTTTAGTATTCATTTTTGTTTCTTTTCTTTTTTTTTGTTCTTAGTAAAAGGAAATATTTTATGAATAGTTCTTTGTAAACCTTCTTTTTTGAGAGTTTAAAAACAATTTATATAACATGTTCCAAATGTAGATGGTTGAATGGCTTAACTATTTATATTGATGAGAGCTTTAATATTGAAGCTTTCATTTTTGCTTGTATTTAAGAAATGAGTAGGGTGTTTGGTTATATTAATATTTATGAAAATCATGCATATATAATAATTATAATCTTTCTTAAAAGTTCAGTATGAGGTATAGAAGTGTACTTTTTTTAGTCTTATCATTTTTCAATTTTGACGTGTGCGAACACTTGAAGGGTTGTGATTTGAATTCAGTGCATACAGTTTATGTCCATGTATCAAATGATGCCTTCTGTCATTTCAAAAAAAGGATTGATTTATTTAATTAACAGAATAAGGTCATAGGATACTCAAACCCTATAAGAAATATAAATTTAATAAAACTTTCTGTTTTGCTTATTTACGCTTCACATTAATTTGTTTCACGGTAAAAAAAAATGATAAGTTTCATTTCTTTTTTAAAAGGGCGAGAGTTACACTTGTTGATGTTTTTTTAAATTTATAGACATAAATTTAAAGAAAAGGGTGGGAAACCAGTACGATAAATAAAATACGTGAAAAAAATTGAACGTGAATAGGTTTGCAAAAAACCGTTTACAGGTATTTTTGACAAACGGATGCAATTTCAGTTCAGTATCCTATGTCTTTATTTATATATGACATGTATTATTATAAGTGAATGTCTGTATGAACAATATGAATTATATTTTAACGTATAGAGACACTTCCTTAAGAAAGAGTGGGTTCTGTACGTATGTTCTAGTGTGTTGATGTTCTAAGATCAAATGAAACGTTGCAATAAAACAGAAAAAAAAGTTTCTTTTTCATCGTGGCAGAATTAAAATATGAAAGATGTGGTTCTTTTTTTTTCATATGATGAAAACCAGTATAAAGCATTTACAATGTTTGGATAAATTGAACAATAACAGAAAATCTCATTCAGCAATTTAATAGCATTAAATAAGTTGTCAAAATGAAGAATCTACAACAGTTTGAACGTATTTTTTTCAATTCTGTTTTTTTTTTCTTAATAATGATCAGATTCCACACTTCTTATTCTAGCAAGAGAAAGACGTGGGTGTTTTGTTTTCAAAGAATACTGGTACCGGTCTTGTGGAGTAGGATATCCCCCCTAAAATCTTTCCGTCCGAAAAACTGGCTCTAGAGTAGACTTTCCCCCCGGAAAACTGGCTCTAAAGTAGGATTTCCCCCGGAAAACCGGCTCTAGAATATGATTTCCCCTACGGAAATCCCACACCAGAGTCAATTTCCGGGGGAAAATCTTACTCTGTATAGAAGTGTGATTTCCCCCAGAGTCAATTTTCCCCGCAATGAAATATGATTTAAGGACAGATGATACAAACAAACCTTGAAAATTACAATTGAATTCCTATTTTAATAAGTAAAATGAAAGTTAAAATTTTCATTAAAACTAAAGTTTCAAAAAAACGGAATCTAAGGAGATTTTATATGACAAAAAAAAAATGTATAGATTAATACATATGGTTACAGAAAGGTGGAAATTTGAACATAGTAAGTTTACAATTTTTATAATATTTTAGAAAGTTTATTATTGTAATCATTTACAACCAAAATAGGTCCAAAAATATATACCAATCTAGACATCCATTTTTGTTTGATTCATTATATTTTGAGAATATTTACATTTCATTTGAAAGCTAAATATTTTGGTTGAGATTCCATGATTTGCCTTACAACAAAAGTAAAAAAAAAACCCACTCATTTACCTTTTAAAAATCAGTTTGTCGTTTGTCTTTTTTTTCACAAAAATATTGCGGCTGTGGTTTGTATATTGACTCTATAACGAGGGGGGAAATCCTACTCTGAGAAAGAAAGAGGGGGAAATTTGGCTCTGGTGTGATATTTCCCCTCGGGGGGAAATCCTACTCTAAGTACGATTTCTGGGGGAAAAGGCGGCTATGGGGGAAATCCTACTCTACAACACCGGTACGTCCGCAAGAGACAAAAACATTGTTTCACATACATTGTTTAAGATGTGAACCTAATTGCATGCATTTTTTTTTCACTGATCAATTATCTATGAAATATATGCAAGCAGTCCGCTCAGGTAGCGTAAATGTCACTGAATGAATTTACATTTTGCAAGGTTAATAAAATTCTAGTATCTCATCAAAATGTTTTCCTTCACTTTACATTTGCACAAAACTTGCAGAAGGCGCGCGTTTGGCAATCTAAGAAAACAATAAATGCAATAGGAAACAAGGTTAATTCTGCTGAATGAATTTACATTTTCAAATGCCTAATGTGATTCTGATAATTGTTTTAAAATCAAATCTTATTTTTACTTGACCTAACATTTGCAAAGACGATATATCTTGCGGTCCCTCAAAAACAACAATAATGCAATAGGAACCAATGTTAACTCTACGGTTTATTTTATCCTGATTTTTTGCATGAGATGCCATTTTGGTGCGATAGCTGTGGTGAGATTCCCCTACTTGTCCGGTCTGTTGACAGATAGCTAAGTATCTGCGCCATAAAGGTATATATTTTGATAAAACTGGATCTAGAGTGCGCTATTTATGATGCGATAAATAATTCAAACCAAGCTCTCTACATGGGAACTTAACGAGGGCACCCGTTTACGACTACTCTAGGGGAATACAAGTCTTAAGTGCCTGTATATGATACTGCAATTATGACATAAAAATCAGTTTTTGGAGTTTGGTTCACGATATAGACTCCTCAGGACGTTTTTTCAATCTTCGCTAAATTGTACTTTTCTTGAAAATGCCCCTTAAGTTGATCGATTTGTGATCAGTGCAAGTAAACTTGTGTTCATTTTTTTTTGTTACAAGAAAAAAGTTTGACAAATTGACAAAAGAAATCTACCATGACATTAATTTATTGCTGTTGAGGGAATTCGTGTCGGTTGTATTTTATGAATGAGGACAAGATTAGCAGGAAGAAAAATAAACTGTGATCATTGAAGTCGGCAAATCCAAGAGTTGACGGATTTTTGGTCGATACAGAAGAGGTAAGAAATTTGATGTATTTCATGCTGGTAATGGAAATCTAGATATTGCGACAAAGCATGGTTCCGTATCTAAGCGGGGAATTCTTCAAAATTATATGCAAATTTGATATATTATTTCAAAACACCAAATAGCAATACTGAATTTGAATTAACTGTGCTTATACTGGTTTTGTAAACTTTATAAAAATATTTACAAACAAATATAAATGACTGACTTTGGTAAATGTTATACCAAAATACTTCTTTTCTTCTTACGAAAATAAAAACAGCAATGAAGAAGAATTTCCTTATTTCTTAATTACTAAATAATTCTAAAAAAATCTAAGGAACTTTAAAATATTTTCTACTCAATTCAAAAAGAAAAAAAAATATCCTGAAAACCTAGATGTACGATCTTTCAATTTGCATACCTTGTTATTATTCAATTGCAAATTCATATATCAACAGCCGCGTTAAAATTCAGCAATCTAAATGCATGGTTGATACAATAAAATTGATTAATTGTGCGTTGTTTAACGTCCCATTTCGCTCTTAAAGAGACGCCATGACATGATTTGCAAATATAATCTGTTGTTAAGTTGAATATTGACATTTCTTTCTTTCCTTGTTCCTTGTCATGGTCGAGATATAATTAAAAAATCCGTTGAAAATTTAGAGACTCTGGGTAATAATGTTTTAACAATTAGTATGAAAAAAGTCACTCGGCATTAGACTAACATGTAGTGATATATTGTGTTTGCTGACAAGGTCATTGTGTGGACCATAGAAATTACGAAATGCTGACTTTAAACGAAATTGTTGATATTCTTGTTTCGTCAACTTGTTCACTGTACCTTAACTTAGCATGCCTTTGCGTATCGAATCAACTGAGAGATATAAACCCCATATGCAGTTGATAAGGGTATATATATAGATGCATAAATAAGGAAAATTGATTTTTGAAACGTTTAGGTCATCAAGTTTATTATAATGCTTTGTTGTAAGGTTACCAATAACGTCTTATTTTAATTAAATATAATTAAATACATGTATTTAGTATGAAAAAGTGTGTCATACTCTGTTGTATCGTGTTGACATAATTTCTTGAAGTTTTCATTTAACCCCTTACATGGCATATACGCATTTCTACGCATCTGACTTGAAAAAACATCCATAACTTCGTACTGCAAATATCAGAATAAATCTTGCGCCCTTGGAAAGAGAAAATAATTACGATACAATAATATACAGAATTTTTTTTATTGGTTGTACCAGTTTTTTGCTAGCTAGCTTGATTAAACTTTGCGCACTATTTGAGCGATTTTGCCATTATCGAATTCAACAATATAGCAGCATATGGTCTCTAATTAGTTTTGCATTCTTCAGTTCTATGTTTTCGTTCCAACTGATTGATTCATTTTTAGGTAAGAATAATAAGATGGTGCAGTCAAAATCAGAATTCGATGTTTGGGACTGGCTACTTTTCGGGGCCATGTTGGCCGTATCGGCAGGCATTGGGATTTTCTATGCTTTCGTGGGTGGACGACAGAAAACAACTAGTGACTTCCTAATGGGAGGCCGGAGTTTGCAAATGATCCCTGTGGCCATTTCCATCCTGGTATCTTTCATGTCGGCCATTTTGATTTTGGGCACTCCCGCAGAAATGTACACCCAGGGGACGCAGTACTTTGTGTATCTGTTCGGACTAATCTTGGCAGTTATCCTAGCCTCCCAGTTGTTTGTCCCATTGTTGTACCCTCTCCAGCTAACAAGCTCATTTGAAGTAAGTTCTGCACATGTGCATTCATTCACCATGAAACAGGGTATAAAAAAGTATTTTAAAAAAATAAGAAAATGTTTTCTAATTAAATTCAGTACTAAAGTTTTATGGAACCCAACATTTAAAACTCTTAACAAATACTTGAAACAATATTCATACACGTTATGGTAAAATTTTATTTTCCAAATCTTTCAAAATTAGAATATATATATATTTTATTATTTCAATGTAAAATAATTGGTTCCTATTTTCGTCACAGTACTTAGAACTGCGGTTTAAATCCAAGGCCGCCAAACTAACAGGGACTATTATGATGATTTTACAACAGGTATAAAATTTAAAATATAATTACTTATTATCTGTCTTTTAAACAGGACAAATCGAGTTTGTTTTCCACATATACATGTATTTGTAAGAATTGGTTAAAGACTTTTTTAAGAACAGCGTAAACCAAGTTATGTTAAAGAAAAAGTTCTTCTTTATTATAAATTCACTATTCAATATTTAATCCAGATCTACATCCCTACGCAGTGACCTGCGAAATATACCAGTTTCATTTTTTAACTTCCCTTTTTGATAATCCATTAATAATGAAGATAACCCTAAATCTAATTTGCATCTCTATCATGCCTTTAGGTGCTGAATTTGAAAAGATGATAAACTGCCATCTCATGTATATGTTCATTGTACATGTACCTTCTGTAAAAAACTCTCTATGGCCTGAACACTAACGAATTCTAATTCTGTTGTATTTTTGAAATTATAATTTTCTCAATTTGTAATAATTTATACATTCAAAGCAAATAAACTATTCAAGATAAATTGACTGAAATTTTTTTTTCCGCCAATTAAGTTCTCAGCGAAGACTTTTGTTGAATAAATACTTAGTTGTCGTTGAACTTTTTTGTCCTTTTTCTTTGGATGAAATATATTATAGATACTCTGTAGTGTTTTGTTGAAAACAAAAATAAAAGGATTAGCTCAGATGATTTCATTTTATATTTTCTTTATATCCAAGAAGAAATATTTTTTATGGCATTTGAGGTCCATAAGCAAAAAAAGTTTATAAATAAAATATATTTGCTGATTTTTATTTTAAGTGACATTGCCACAAAATATTGCATATCACATGTTTCCGTTTCTGAAAGAAAACCGGTGACTGTTCTAGTAAAAATAGAATATCACTATTTCAATTTTATGACTATATATAATGCTCTCTTCTACTAGAATTAGACTAGATATGTTTCCTTTGTAGATTATTTACATGGGTGTGGCTTCCTATGCCCCGTCCACAGCGTTAGAAGCGGGTGAGTGAAGTTTAGTGTCAGGAACAAGAACAACACTAAGGATTTATTTTAATTTTTCAGACAAATTCAATGAACTGAATTATTCCTGATGAAGTAGCCTATTTTAAACATGTTTTTCTTATGGATCAATTATATATATGCACTTTGTATTACGAAGGGCTTAACTGAAACAAAATAAATGACATCATGTAAACTTACATGTATATCGGTGATATTGGAATATCATTTTAGATAATTTTTGTCATAAAAAGGAAAAGGCTTACCGTCTTTTTCTTGGAAATATAATTGATTAAAAATTAAGAGATTTTAAACTTTGACTTTTATTGCCTTTAAATTACTTCTTTATATTTGATATGTCCTTGAAGTAATATTTCAAAGATGAAAATTAGAGATAAAGTTTTCTTAGAATTGCAAATTTCTGAAATTGACCAAGAAAATTAATTACATGTTATTAAAGTCGATCATGCAGATAATGAGAAATCTTGTAGACTGATTTATTGACCCTAGTGTTTTAGATAACTTATTTTTAAAGTTGAGAATTTCGAAAGATTTTACTTTATTTCATCATGTACTAGTAAAATTATATTTGAATTTGAATTTTTAACTGAATTTGATTAAAAACAATTACCCTCTTTTTTTATTTGTAAACAATAAAACAATAGATAGTTTTGTATTTATTTTACGTTTTCCTTTCAATAAAGGTATATATAATATATATGAACAACTTAATCTTACAATCGGACCTATAGCCTTGGTTGGCGATTGGGGCATGAATTTAAGAATGTTGAAATAATTAAAATCATATAACAAGCAATGGAAAGACAAGGTATATAAAGATGTTTATTCAATAAGACCGACGCAACTCCTGTATCGTGTACAATTGATGATTAATGCGATTTAATTCATCTCGTTTAAAGTCATCATTTGTTAACTTCTTTGGTCGATACAATGACCTTGTCAGCAAATACAAATTTATCATTGAGCTAAATGCTGACTGACGTTAAATTTCATACTAATTGTTAGTCCATTATTTATACACTGAATTGAAGACGAATTTTTCCGTTATTTCCCGATCATAACAAGGAGCACACGGCGGTAGTGACCGGTCAGCAGGGGATGCTCACTCCTCCATGACACCTGATCCAACCTCTGTTGTTTTAGAGGTCCGTGTTTGCTCTGCTCCTAATTTGTATTGTTTTATAGACTTTGAGATTGAAAAGTGTTCATTATCTCCATATCCTTCACTAAATGTATTATAAGAAGTTTTTTCTTTCTGTAATTTTAAAGTGACTGGATTTCCAACATGGGCGACAATCATAACCGTCGGAGTTGTGTCTACGTTCTACACCTTCTTGGTTAGTACGCAAAAAATGATGGCGACAATAAAATGATATTCATGTAGATTTGCTTTATCTCAGCGCAGTTTCATCAAAATTATAACATGTATAAAATTATGTAAAAGAATGTAAAAGATATCTATTTCGTAGGGTTTTTTTATTACCTGATATTATATTTTTCCTTGATGATAACTTGTAATCATATCTATAAAAATTCAGATAGTTTTTACACAACCTTAAACTTACTTCCTTCTTTTTCTTCTGTATTAATGTCATCATGCACTATTTTGTTTAGGGCGGAATGAAAGCTGTGATTTGGACTGATGTCTTCCAGTCTGTTATCATGGTTGCTGGACTTCTAGCTGTTGTTATTCAGGTTCTACAATCAAATACATATCAAAGACAATTAAAATTAACATTTTTAAATACTAGAGTTACCAAATATTCTTAACCAATGAGAACAGCTTTCTTCCTGATATTTTACAGGGTACGATATCTGTTGGCGGAATTGACACTGTGTGGAGAATTAACGACGAGTGGCAAAGAATTGAATTTTTTGAGTAATTATGCATGTAATAGAGTATATACAGTATGATATAAATTGATATCCGTTTGTTGTCCCCACTTTTTTTTTATATGAAATAAAGATGAAAATATAAAAAAGAAATGATTAGACTCAAATTTCTCTTTTAACTTGATTTAACAGTAAATACTTACCATGCTAGTTTCAGATTTCTTTAAATACTGTAAAAAATATAAAAAAGAAAGAAGACGTTTCAAATGAAATTTATGCTTAATGTATAGAAATGACGAGGAAGGATCATGTACATGTTTTTAACTAGATTAAGTAAAGTAACCTACCTAACTAGATAACCGACTTTGATTCACTAAGAAAAACATTATACACATGCATATTATTTTCAGTTTTAACCCTGACCCTACCCAGCGCCATTCCTTCTGGTCCCTGATTGTAGGTGGTATGGTCGGGTGGACGGCTACATATGGTGTCAATCAAGCCAGTGTACAGCGATACTGTGCTCTACCTACTCTAGCTAAAGCAAAAACGTAAATATTACATCATTAAAAAAGCCATCAACATATTCTCTAAAAGAATGGCATACAGTCAAGTATTTTCTCTTCACGGATATTCTATATATTGAATAAAGTTTATCTTTGATTCATTGTATTAAGTATGTGTATGTGTGTTTTCAATTATGACTACGAGTGCATTTTTCTTCAGCAATCTAGTTGTTCTGTTGAAAATATAGAAAGTTAAACTAGGGAATAAAGTCAAGACAGTTAATAATTTAAGAAAGTGTCTAAATCTATTTCTATGTACTACCGGTACTATTAAGATTTGCTATTGTCTCTGTTGTTTCAGGGCTGTGTTGAACATCTTAGGCCTGGTCCGTCTTCTCTGTGTTGCTATTGTCTCTGTTGTTTCAGGGCTGTGTTGAACATTTTAGGCCTTGCCTTTCTGTGTTACTATTGTCGTTCTGTTGTATCAGGGCTGTGCTGCTGAACATTCTCAGCATCTCTTTCTGTCTGTATTTTATCAGTGTTGTTCTGTTGTTTCAGGGCTGTGCTTCTGAACATCCTTGGCGTTACCCTTCTCCTCTGTGTGACCTGTGTAGCTGGGATAGTGGTGTTTGCTTATTACGTAGAGCAGGGCTGTGATCCTTACACTAACAAGGACGTCAGCAACTCTAACCAGGTAAAACAGAAATAAAACGAAGATTCTCATTAAGCTTCTGATATAAAAAAAAAAAAACTAGTTGTTGTTGAAATTTTTTTAAAGAATGTCTTTCTTATTCCTATTTTGTACTCCCAAATCAACACAATACAATTAAAACAGAAACCTTTTTCAAAGGGCTTTGTACATCAACATAATATTCAAATTTTAATTTAGGCATATTTTCATTCAAAGAATCAGAAGTGTTAAGTTCGGGCATTATGTTCTTGTCTTGTTGCTTATGGATTTTTGTCCATCAAGATAATATGAGTTTGATCTATACACTCGCTTTCTGAACCTATGTATATATATGTATAAAGCATAAACATATAAAGAGGTTATCTTTCTTGGAACTTGATTTTTTTCTAAACATTGCTTAAGGACTTTGGGTTTATGTATACTTTATTTAAATACCGAATATAATCGAAGTTAACCAGGGATTGAACGAAGTTCGAAGCGCCTTTATAATGCCAAATGTTGCTATACACAATCTCTTAATACATTTTGAGGAAATTAATACCAGCCATAACTTTGTTTAACAAACTATGTCAAGGATTTCCATCGTTTGACGTATTAAGTATTCGAACTTATTGTCTTTGAGCATGTGATTGCGCAAGATTTTAAATAAGAAAATATCATATATTTCTTGACAGATAATTCCATACTTTGTGATGCAGACGCTTGGTTATCCGGGGATTCCTGGTCTGTTTGTGGCTTGTTTATTTAGTGGTGCTCTCAGGTTTGAATGACCAATGACGTTTCCGCATTTATATTAAAACAGATTAGATATTTTTTTTTAATTTTGGGGTATTTATAAGAATATATAAAATGAACTAGTTTTTGATTTATAAAAAAAGGTTATTGATTAAAAAGTTTAAATGGCTGGAATACACTATCACTGTTTCTGGACCAATGCACTGTTTCTTGGACAATTTTATTACAGTACAATGTCCTCGTGCCTGAACGCGTTGTCAGCGGTCACATGGAAGGACATTTTGGAACCTTTCCTCGGAGAGAAGACAGAAACCCAGAAAACCTGGATCACAAGAATTCTGGGTAAATAGACAGAATTTGTGAAGGAAAAAATACATTCTGCAGCGAGTTTCATTCGAGCAATGTTTATCTTTTATTTCTGTTTTGTTCTGTTTCTTTGTTTAATTGATTTTGGTTTGTCTGGTTTATGTTTCTTTTTATGTGCGAGGTTATATTTGGTTGCTTTTTTGTGTAACTGAAACACCAAATGCCATATTCTGGTCTTTATCAAATACGTTCCAAATAAATGTAGACTATAATGGCATATTATTTTTAGTTGCACTGTATGGAGGAGCAGGGATAGGAACTGCATTTATGGCAATGAACTTAGGAGGAACTGTTCTCCAGGTACATTTCTATTTTCAAAATTTATTCAACAATAGAAAATTTTATGCTGTTGAATAGAAAACGTGGACAGAGGTATGTAGTAATTCAATACCTTATATATTTTGTCCTTTTCCAGGCCTCCCTGAGTTTTACCGGGGCTGCCTCTGGACCTCTGCTAGGGATTTTTGTCCTGGGAGCTTTCTTTCCATGGGCTAACTGGATAGTCAGTATTTCTTTCCAATATGGATAGTTTAAATTGAACATCAAATTGTATAGTCAGAATTTTGATAGACAGTTAAAAAGGCTTAGAATTTGTTAAAATTTCAATGCTAAGAATATTAGTCTAATATCTTAAACTCGGTCTTTAATATTCAATAAAATAATTTTTATCTGAATTTGTATTTCTGGACTCTATCACTCGGTCTTAAATATTTGATAAAATAATTATCTGTATCTAAACTCTATCAGGGTGCAATAATTGGCAGTATCTTCGGGTTGGTACTTCCGTTCTGGATCAGTATCGGGGCCTACAGCGTAGTGGGAGCTCCAAATCCTCTTCCATTCCCAACAGAGAACTGCACTAGTCCTGAAAACTCGACCCTCCTTACTAACATGACAACGACGACCACCCCAGTCCCACCAATGTAAGTATACATGATAAAGAACTGCAACGAAAAGAAAAATTAAAGAAATACATTGTGTATATCACAAATTGAATATACATGTATTTTTTGAAAAATTAAGAGAAATCCTTTTGTATATGTAAAGAATATATGCATATTACTATTTGTTTTTTTGTTTTTTTTTCACATTTTTTTTTTGTTTCCATAGAATTTCAATTAATTTCGACTCTTAATTTTATATATTAAATAACTTCAACTTTAACACATAAATCTACCTGTAACCTTTATCAAAATGGGAAAGTTTTTAATTGTTGTTCAACATCTGTTCCACCTTAAATGAATTTATTATGAAATTAAACTTTGGTTTCAGTGAGGGTGTGGATGTCCTTTACACGATCTCCTATCTCTGGTATCCCTCCATTGGGACAGCCACTGTCGTCATTGTTGGTTTGTTTGTCAGTCTGATCACAGGTATGTAGTATATAAAGTGACACAATAAACTCGCGTCCTAAAACTTAGAGTAGCTCACTTATGATTACTTAAGCGGAAAGAATTGTTAGTGGAAAAGTGACACTGAGATTGAAAGTGAGCTCATTGCTATGAAATGCCTTTAGAGTGAGCATTAGCTTTTAAATTGAGAAAATTCGATGTATAGTTTATCATTTCACTTTATCTATTTTAAATGTTCTTTATCAACAATACCTCTTACAGGTATTTAACACATGATGGATTACTCCAATGTTCCATGCGTTATAGATAAATAATTTTTTCTTAAATTTCTTTGCATCTCTAATGTACTTATCTTTAGCAAAAACGAAACTTATTCCTCAATGAACTCTTGGTGTATTTTTCTTAAAGTACAAGCACAATGAATTTTCATGAATCTATAGTAGACTTCAATTTTTTTTAAAAGTAAAGAATTTTAACAGAGTATTAAAAACCAGTTATCAGATCATCACTAAACAGTTACCTTACTGTTTTAAGGCTAACTGTAATCTCTAACATAATAATCATTTTTAAATTACATTTTTTGACATCTCGAAGGTACGTTAAGCTAAAAGTTTCATATGAAAAGAACTTTGAATGTATGCTTTTTTAAAGTGCAAGCAAAATGAAAAGTCATGAGTCTATTTAAAAAATCAATTCAATTGTTTAAAAAAAAATTATGAATTTTTTTTAAAAGCGTTACTTAATAATAACATTGCAATTACCTGGTTATTTTCAGGTTTGACTCCTAAGGATGAAGTAGACAGTAAATACCTGATTCCCTTCTTTGACCGGATCTTCTGCTGTCTGCCCGGGAAGTGTCGCCGATGTCTGCGATGTTACATAGAATATGAAGACCCAGAGGTACACATTAATTATGGAAATCCATTCTTTATTTTCATTTATTATTTAACTAAGCATAATCTTTTTTTTTAATTTTTAAAATGTTTTATATTCTTCTGTGAAATATGTATTGTAATTAAATTTCATGTTTTGTAAAATTGTAAAGTTCCATAATTATACAAATTTTGATATATGAATATCAAAGAAAAGTTGTTAGTTATAGTCAGTATTTAAAAAAAAAACATATATATTTGCGTTGCAAATCAGTTTTATTGTCAAAAAGAAATAACAAATTTCAATTTGGTCATTGAAAATCCTTACATTTTCCCTTTAACTACAACTAAATTTGTTCTGTGTTAATACATTAATATCATCATCATATTTATGTCATTTGTCATTATTAGGACATAAAAGCAGAGAAAGATATAGAATTCTCGGTAGATCCTGACAGACCAGTCATCCTACCGATAAAGTCCGAGAAGTACCGAGAGAAGCACCAGGCTGAACCAATAGGTGGTATATCATACAAGTCCTTCTATGTATCAGAAAACGGGCAAAATAACCCTGGGTTCGATACGAACGATGCACCGCCTTCATATTCAGATGTTCAAGAAAATGATGGTGGAACGGCAAAGACAGAGTTATAATAATTAAAAGATTTCTCTAAACCAATCAAAATATTCTGTGATATTATCCATTAATAAATCCTATGTGTGGATCTCATAGATTATAAATCATTATAAATGTGTTTTTGAAATGTATTGTACAGGTATGTTGCGAAGGGATATATCAATATAATGTCATATTACAGTAACTTCTAATAATCATAAAATTTGCTGATGCAAAAACGTATGCTGATACATAGCTTTTTGGAGATAACTTTACAAACATTGTTATCATTAGAAGAAAATACTTCAATTTCAATCATATCATAATTATATATATTTAGTAAGCATTGATATCTACTTATAATATTCATTAAATATAATGAATGAAGATTGTATTTTAATTGGTAAACTCAGAGATAGTTTTTAATACATTGTAAATGATCAAGTACCTCAGCTAAAGGCAATCTTGGTTGATTGTTGATTTTTATGTCATAAAATTATGTTTTATATCAAAAGTGTTTTCTATGTCCGTGTCAAAACTAATACTAAAACATTCTAATGATACATCTATCAGTATAAGACAAAAACATTATATAATGTTGTTTCTCTTAGTACATAAACGGTTGCAGTTATTGCAAAAATGCATAACCATATTAAGCTTTTGTGTATTTTTCTTAACAGCTGCAACGTTCAATCCTGCAGAACAAAAAAACAGTTTTTATTTTAAGATAATACACTTCTACATCGTTTTCGTGGATAGTATAACATATATGATGACAAAAAAAGATTAATATTTATGGCAGGTCAATCGTCATTCCTTACTTTTTTTATATTGAAAAATCACAGAATTTTCACAGGAGACGAAACATTCAGTTTGAGGAAAGGTTAAAAACTCAAATATAAATTTAGAAATTACTTGGCTGGTAAGAATGCGATTAAAAATTCTACTTTGAACGCAAAACTCATCAAAATATGCAAATGATAAATTCTTAATTGAACATATTTCAAATAAAAAAGAGTTTTACTGCTCCTTTAAAACTTTCATTCTTATATAGAATAATTAACGTCGAAAGTTGAACTCAGTAATTTTTAAAAATGATGCCTAAATAATTTATCCAATACAAATTAATTCATTTTGAGAAAGACTGATAGATCATTTTTTTGATTAGATATCTTTATTTTAGAAAAAATAAAGAAAAAACGGAGATTGGTGATTTTGCAAATTTAAACTGACTGTTTGACACATGTCTTATCTATCGTTATTCTGAGGAAGAAAGGGCAATTATTGTAATAATTAGTAATTCTACACATGAGATGCAATCATTTGTCACATCCGATGCATCACTCAAATATTCAATCATGCGTGACCAACACCCAAAATTATGCAATTATTGAAAGATGTGATTTTTTTTATTAAAAAGAGCTTTTAATATTTGCCTTCGATCAGTTTCCTAAGCCGCGGGTCGGTCTTAAATCGGTGACTTGAATTCTCGCCCAGGGAAGCTAAATTTAGGATAATTTGTCTCCATTAAGAGATGCTGTGAATTTCAATTATCCTGTGCTTCAATTGTGGAAATCTTCTCTCGATCTGGATTTTTTCAAGTTTTATTTTTCCTTCTTTGAAAATTTTAATTTTCTTGGATTGATAGAATAATGACAAGAAGTTTCCAGATATATTTTCAGAAGAGTCCGATATATTACACATAAGGTAAGTCATCTTTTTAGTTATAGGTACCAGAAAAGATGAATCCAGAGATCTGGCCAATATGACGGCAGGTTTTCCCCACTTGTCATTTTAGAATTTGAGAAATATGTATGCTGACTTTTTTTTCATACTAATTACTAGGCTTTTATTTTATATACACACTGAGCAGTTTCCCGTTTCTTCCAAACATGACAAAGAACACACGGCGGGGGGTGACCGAGCGGAGGGAGACCCTTGCTCATCCATTGCACCTGATCTGGTGTTTTACAGGTCCGTATCTGCTCCGCTCCAATTTTGTAATAATCAATGGACTTTGAGCTCGAATACTGTTAGTTAACTCCACGTATTTAATCGAAAAAGCTAAGTTTCTTTAAAACACCTTTTTACTTTAAATATTCACGTTGTAACATGCAAGATACAACACATGCCTAGGCCATGAGAACAAAACCTACTGGACTTTATGATCATTTCATTGCATTCATTTATGTACCTTTCACATTTTAGATTTCTTCAAATTCAATCGACTAGTTCTAATCAATTTTTAAAAAGGTTATTACCATTAAATGGGGATTGAAATGAACCACGCCCTATTTTATGCAAAGTACAAACATTCCTTTGAAAAGTAAGGTGGAATTCTTTTTTCACAATGCAAATTGAATCAAAAAGATAAAAATGTATCAAAAATTCAAGTGAATTCGAATCCTGTTTTACTGTGACGAAGCGTTGAGTTATTGGAGGTAATCAAAATTTATTAATGAATACGAAGGAGGAAGTAGGATCTTTAAAAAAAATTGAAGAACTTCTTCAAGTTATATCATATAAAAATAACTCCATTATATACAGTATAACTCGGTTGTATCGAAGTCACATGGATCTTTGAAATTCATAATTCGTTATATCCGTATAAGGAATTTGTAAAATTCATATAGCCGGGGGATTTAAGATAACTTTGCTATATTCGAGAATTTGCAATGTCTGTATTCATACTAAACGAGTTTTACTGTACAAGTACTTGGGTTGATTGTATGTTTATCATTCAACTCCCACTCGGCAGTATTACAGCCAAGTTTCGGATGATGGTACATTGTTAGAAGATCATTGCGGAAATAAATCATTTAAAGTTTTCTTCGGAAAAATGCAGCTTTGCTACCAGTATATAAAGTAAGGTTTTTACCACTGTAATCAACTCTATCAATTTTTTTTGAAAGAGTAATAAATTATCAAAATTTGAAAAGAAAAATAGACAGACAAATAAACAAACACATTATTTGTTTATGCTTAATTTGCACAAATAATGACAAACATTAACGAGCGGGAAATACTCTAATGACTTTAAAAGTTATATTAATCACAGACATAAATAATACACAATAAGAATCAGCCAACCATGACAAGACACTGGTCTATCCTGTTTAAAAATTATAATTCCCTCGTTAAGTTTTGATAAATAGCTGCTTTGTTGTAAACTTGTAGAACAAATCACCGAAATAAAATGGATTATGATATTCATAAGCTGTGACTTATATTTATCGTTAATTAACATCTTTTTTATGCGGTGATCATCGTTTGATGAATTCACCTTTCACGTTTAATGGGAAAAATTAGATAAAGAAGTAATAGATGTAATAATGGCGTTTTTCCTTGATGTCAGTGAGGTTAAGGAAGAATGCATAAATTACAAATATTTAAAGGTCTGACACTCAAATAGAAAGAAACTGAGTTATGCTACAGCACAAATAACTTCTACGTTAAAAATTTTTATAAAACATTCATTTGTCATTAATGTAACCACTAAATGAAAGGAATCTGTGCAGGATACTTTGTAAAGGATGGAATCCTTCTTTATTATCTTATACATTTAAAAGAACAATTCACTATGAGGAAGACATCGAGTCAAGTCAAATTACAGATCGGAAAGGGGCTGTTCACTCCTCCATGACACCTTATCCCACCTCTGATATCTCCTTGCTCTTAATTTGTATTATTTAAATGGACTTTTGAGCTTTAATATTATCCATGTATGTGCTTAAATTATCAACGTTGAAAGATATAATGAAAATGGAAGATACAATTTACCTTCATATGTCAAGGTAACGAACGTTAATCAGGGTTAAAAGTCCATTGAGATAACAGAAATTTGGGCAGAGCAGACCCGGACATCTAAGCATCAAAACGTTGAATATATGGGATCAAATACCATTGAGGAGCAATTATCCTCGGTTACACCCCCCGTGTGTTTCTTCTCATGATCGGGGCATCAAAAATATCTGTATTTTGTGTGAAAACAATCTTCCATTTTATATAAATTAACATAATTGTTTATGTCGAATTTTGATACTTCCTAACATTCATTCCACAAATACCAATAAATTTTATTTAAAATGCATGTAACATTGGCATTTTACATTACGTTACCTAAAATAAGCAAGATAGAAAAAATTTTCTAAAAGAAAGAACACATTTATATTTTCTTCATGTTAATAATAAGCTGACTTTACGCAATTTCCTTGTATTTTTAGATACAATATGTATTTTATCCCATTATAACTACACTTATTGAAAAAAGGTCATGGTAAGTTTTCATCTGAATATGTACAGTTATTAAAAGAATCAGTGAAAATGATTCTTTATTTGGTCTAAAATATAGTTTCCGGGAAAATTATGTTCTCTGGTCATTAAGGTATTTTTCTTCTTCGAAAATAAATAACCTAATTAAAATACTGTGTATTTGACAAAAGACGCTATTTTTCTCTCTGACATTTCTTATTACAATAATTTCACCGCAAATAATTAAATTAAATGTTTTCCTTAAAAAGAAAAATATTAATAATATGATGTCATTCTGGACTTATGATTAATCTTTTATACTAATATAGCTAGATTAAATAAGAGGGTTAACATTTGTTATTTAAAACCTTTTACAGTTACGAATTATTATGCACTTTCGAGCGAAATGACAAAGCATATTTCTTGTTACTTAAATTACAAATTGGTATTTTTGAAGATATGTAGTCAGTTAGCTTCAGACTAGAATAGTAACTTGATATATGTATGTGATAACTTCTTTTTTTTTGCTTTTGTTGTTTTCTTTTCCTTTTTTGTAAAGTTTGAAAGTCAAACGTCTTATAATAAATAACAATCACTTTTACATTTTGTGTGTGTATTCGACAATAATGTTTTTATGATGTTTATATATTTTTTTTTTTTAATTTACTTGTTTAGTTCTTTGATGCAGTTTCTCATGTTCTTTTATACTTGTACAGTACCTATAATAGATATAAAATTTGCAATATTTGGTTGTCATTTATCTTAAGCTGATAGCATACATTGTGTTACAAAGACCTAAAAATATGGTAAAATTTTACATTCTAAGAGTTAATCTGGGGTTTTATGAGCATATGAGTAACAAG